TGAAATGTGTTACCGGATGTGGTATTTCTTGCAGATGGAGAAAATTGTCTTATAACTGTATAGGGAAGGGGCATGAACTGTAACCTTGATTTACGGGGAAAAAGAGGTTAGTCCCCAGAATTTGTGATGTCCCTGAGAGTTGATGGGAGGACACTATCAGGAAGTGCCAAAAATTTTGCTTTGCTTAGAAACAAAGGAAGTGGCTACAAAGGAGCTGCACTTGAATTGACTAACTCTTAACACATGGATTCGTTAAATAGTAGAGGGCAAGACCGGGTTAACCTCTGTGCTCGCCACCAGGAAGACTTGTATCTCAGCTGTGGGCTGCAACCCCATAGGCATGAGAGGTGGGAGCATATGTTATACCGGACCTCTGCTAATCATCCTGGTATGGTTTGCTTTAATAGTGGCAAATTTGTGCAGCAAGTGCTTTACTGTTATGTCCAACATCAGAGTGGCTTTGCTTTCCCAAAGACAGAAGGGTGGATGGAGATATTTTTAGTGGGAAGAAGAGAATCCAAGTAAAAGATGTGACAGAAGTAAAACAGTCAGTACCAAAACCGCCGAAAAGACCTATAACAGAATTTTTGACATGGTTAACCAAAGGAGATGGTGGTTTACATAAGCAGATACAACTACATGGGCACTTGAAAGAGGAACATTTACAAGGGCAAAAGATATGTAGTAAAAAGGCAAACAAAGTGAGGGCTACCAACATCAAGGCTGCACAATAAATTGCTGCCCATGCATAAGCACGCTCCATTGTTTTCGCGGTATCGGAGGTACAAGAGTGAGAGCGCAAGTGGTGAACCTGCCTGGTCCGTAGGGATCAGGAGTCAGGGTCCACATACGCAGCAGGAAAATGGATTTCCACGCCCCCAGTCCAAAGCGCATGTGTTGTTGGAGGGTCTCGAAAGTTCGGCTATACCCGGATGGCAAAAACAACTGCCAGGCCCGCCCAGATCTAGGCAGCACAGGCATTCTGGGTGGAAGAGAAACTTCCGCTCATTGCGCACTTGGACCTTCCTCGGTCAAGCCGCTAGCCTGGGGCTGGACTATCCCACTAATCTTACTGATCCCGCTGGATTGCAATCTTGGGAAGATGGGAGTAGGGGACGATCCCGTGTGCGCCGGCCTGCTGTTGGGATTTTTCATTATATTGGTGGTGACTGTCGTTGCCATCGTGGTATGCGAGGGAATGTCTCGTGGCTGGTGTCGGAGAAGATCACCTCCTCCACCCAATCCTCCAAGATCACGAAGACAACTAAGACGCCCTCGAAACCTTGATGAGGTGATGGAAACAGACTTATAGTTCAAAGAAGAAAATGTTATTGATCAGAGGAGTTACCACGCGGCGCGTGACTGTTGTTCTTGGACTCTTTCTATCTTTCTATCGCTATCGCCCCCGTGAGTAAGGGTAACAAGACATCGAAGGACAACATCCAAAGGACAGTGCTGATATCTTTGGTTCTTACTTTTTCTGATTGTGTCGTGTGGGACTTTGCTGGATTGTTATACAGTTAATTATTTCAGGTTCTTGTTTGTTAATAAATTGTTGATTATTGTTTACAGAGTGTCTGATAGTACGGTTGACTGTGCAGTTTGGCACACAGCTCGAATTTTGCTTAACGCCAACAGGTGAAACAGTAGTAGCAAATTGCATGTTGGTCACAACATGTTGGATTAACTGAACAAAGCAAGGAATAAATAACACACGGCAAAAACATTAAGGCGACAACTGCACATAGCAGATAGAATAAGAGCTGTTTTACCTATGGTGCTCTGAAAACACCCTCAATGTTAGACTCAGAATGGTGGGATGATCTATTAGGAGCTTCCTGGTGGAAAAGATTGAATTTTTCTTCCTTTTGTGCCGTCGCGGGCTTACTATTTTTACCATGTTTAATACCTTGCTTTATACAGCTAATATCTCATGTTATTGAGGGGATGCAAATAACAGCAATACCAGTAAACCCTGAGATGGCAGCAGTGGCTGGTGCCCACAAAGTTATGATATTAAGAAAAGAATGAGACTAAGTGTTAGTAAGCTCAAGCAAAATATGGTATTAAAAAAAAAAAAAAAAAAGGGTGGATTGTGATAAATAATAGAAGAATTTTGCTTTCGCTAAAAGTAATTAAACAATTACTTTTATTGAATTAGGCTGAAGCTGTTATTAGTACAATGATACAAATTTTAAGAAAAGTAAAATAATTTACTAGTGGGAAAAGAGAAGAGAGGGGGGATTGATCAGAGGAAACACCAACCCAACAGCCCCCCCCCTTTTCCTTTGAAATGCTCACCAGATGGTCCATATCAAAGGATGGTAACTCCTTTGCAATGGAATGGGAAAGAACATGATGGGCCCTCTCTGTTATCTCCTGTTCTTGAGATAAGAGAGGAACTGGAGCCACTGAGCCATAAAGACAAAGGAGCTACAAATTAGCCCAGACTTGAAGGACAAGGTGTACGTGACCACAAGACTGAGTTTGCGCAGAAATCAGGGTCAACGAGCGAACACAGTGAAGAAGACTACGAGCCTTCATCTGAAGACCCCTGCCCATGACCACCAGGGAGCACTGCGCAAGCGCGACGGGAGGAATTTGGGTTGGGGGGGATATGTTAATGATTTCTCGGAACTAATTGTAATATTCCCTCCCTATCCTTAGAAGTAGTGATGCATATGTATTAGAGTAGATGAATATGTAACCATTTATACAATAAAAGGGAGCCCCTTTTGGCTCCAGGGCGCGCCATTGCGCCCAGCGCTGTATTCTTTGCTCCACTGACTTTGTCCCCAATAAAACTTTTTTTTATATATACGTGGGCTTGTTTCTCACAATAAGCTTCACTGATTCATGTATATTTGGTAAGATCCACGGAAAGCAAACATAGAGAGCAATTAACGTACACATTGTTTTGATTGGAAGGTGCTGTAAAGTGACTCATTAATTTGTGTCTGCTACGGTGAGAAAACACAGCTGCAGCCTCTGTTGCATACGATCCCCTACAGACTGATGGGGTGCTGGCGGTGGCAAACAGCCAGCAGAGAACCCACGGGTGGCTCTTTCCCTTAGCACCGAGGACGGCTGTAAAGCCTTCACCACTGAAATCCTTTTGTGTAAGCAGGACAGGCCAACAGGATCAGGACAAAGTTCTCCAGCCTTCTCTACCCTGGTCAGAAAGGCACAAAAAAGTTCTGCTGGGATGTATTAACAGAGGAAAACTATCACAGCACATCCTCTTGCATGAAAAAGTCTGCCAGCTGAGGTGAACAGCTTGCAGGGATAGCTATTTTAAGTGCTTTATTACAGCAAGGGCTTTATGAGAACTATATCATACTTATACTGGCATGAAAAATATACTTTGTACCTCCAAAAAATCTTTCAACAAATACTCCTTTACTATTCTCTGCTGCTGGCAGAAAGGATTCTGGAGAAATCCTGCAGGGGATCCTGCACAAGCCAGGTGACAGCTGCTGGGAGACTGCCATGGGAAGCATGGAAAAAATTATTTGTGTTAATGCAACTACAAGCTTTTCTTCTGTAGATCCTAAAGCGCCTTAAAAAGGTACAGCTTTTCACAGAGAAGAGAAAACTTAGACCCAGAGGTGCAAAGGGTCATCTAGCAGGCCACAGAATGAGACAGGCAACACCCCTGATCCCAGTGTCTTCCCCTTCCTTTCTTTACACAGAGTAGGCACTGGAATTGTCATCTGTGGGGTAGCTGCTGTGTTTAAGACGACGAGGATAAGTACAGACATGATAAAGTGAGCCATTTCTGTGGTACATAAGCGTTAAAGTAATTGCAGAGGTGGTTATGAGAATTAAGTGATGCAGGTCAGCCATAACTTTCCTATAATGTTAGATGCTAAGAACTGCAACCCAGCAGTTCCTGTTATATGTGATGACTGAATTCCTGGGTTTCAACATGAAACAAAAGACCAATACGCATTGAAATAGCACCAGCATGAGATGAAAGAGAAATATCTCCAAAGCATACAAGAAGAGACTTCAAAGCCCTTCACTGATACCTTCACACTAAAGTCACCACATCCTGAGCCATCACTCCATATCTCCATCTATTTTGTGTTTAGATACCACAATGACCACAGTGTTTTCAAGTGTAATTAACTGACACTGGAATTGCTTATGCTGTAGCCATCCTGTGAAGGTCTTGGAGGCTGGCACGCATCCCAGCACAATATTCACTCTAACACAAGATGTCAACATCTTAGTGCAAGGACTCTTCTCACTGTCAGTGTTTCAAAGCATTCACCATGCACATTGCCTGCACTGACAAAGGACCATGCTCAGCCTTGCTTGGCTGGGCCAGTGGAGGTGAGTGGTCTTTTCCAACATAAATGATTCTATTATTCTACAATCTATGATGAGCTGCTGGGCCAGGGGGCTTAATTTGGTCTGATTCGTTGGCAGGAGGTGAAAGAGTCCCCCACACTTCGAATCACTTCTATGAAATTGCCAAATCCTTCAAGAGACCCTTTAAAGATTAATCCATGACGATCAAATAGTAACTTCCATTCAAATATCCTAAAAAAGGGGAGAGGCATCAGAAAGGAATGTGTGAAGTCCCCATGATTAGCAAAATGCCATTGTGTGATGTTTGAAATTTTCATTATTTCACAGCGTAATTGCCTCACTGTTGGACTTAGATGCAAGGAAAGCAACCACAGCCAGCTCCGGTGATTGCTGCATTTTTAGAAGAGTGCACATACAGGACACTTGTTTACTCCTACAGGGCCCCACAGAGTTATGAAAATAGTTTCGTAATATCAGAAATAGCTTCCTGCTTTTTGTCAAACATCAGGAGAAGTACGCCTGTGTGATAAGGCAATGTTTGACACACAATTGTAACGTCAGCATCCAAGGGAGCAATGTCAACCTTGGTATGAATCTCATGGCTCAATACAAGAAGTGTTAATATCCAAGGAGAGTCTCAGAAGTTGACAGATTTGAGTGCAGTGTCATTTTCTTACCACTTCCAGGAGCCTCTTAACGATACAGCCATATCTGCAGTGTTAATTTCTTGGGAAATTCAGGTAGTAGCAAAGTGTGGGGGCTAGCAGAAAGTAGTACAGATCTAGGAGCAAGCAAAGGAAACACCACACGATTTTCTTGTGTAAAGTCTAGTGAAAAAACAATCTGTTCTAACATTCAGACCCCATCTTGTCCTGTGGAGTTCTGGGAGCTGTAGCAGTGCATACCTGGTCACGGTTTCACTAGCTGTAGCTGGGAAATAGATGGGAGCCACTGTGTTATTGAAACCCATGTTGATATACCATCCTAAGCACAGCCTTGGGCTTTATGAAGACCATTCCCAGCCCATGGGGCACATACATCCTCTCGTGAATGCACTGAACCACGACCACCACGATCACTGAACCCCTACCAAAAGTTAACCTTATATTAAAAGAAGAACAGGGGTGTTAAGCTTCCCTTCAGAACTAATAATGTGGTAGTAAACGGAATGAGATGCAGGTGATGCCAAGTGCAGGACCGCAACACTGATGGGGTGACGCTGAATGACACGCATAGAGAAAACAGTATCTACACTGTATTGCCATAGGGTGATTGCTGGCTTGTTAAAGTCAATGAGAATATTCTTGATATTAAAGGGTGGGGCAGTGAAGAATTTTTTTCTCTGTTTTTGCATGTCCCAGGTGCCCATGTTTATAAAATTTATAACCTTGGTCTAAGGACAAAGCCAAAAGAGTCTCATGAGCCCAAATTGCACTGCATGGCAGATAAAATCCACAGCATTTGCAAATGGGACTGCCTGAGTGCTGCTTTGTCGTGTTTAGTACAAAACCTTTTTCAATGTGTTAGGGCACAGCACCCCAAAGTCTCATGCTAAAAAGCTGATATGGTGTTTGTTAGCAGACACAGAGCTCAACTCTCATAAATGAGAGAACCCATCAAAGAGAGCTTCTAAGGTAAATACATCCTATTAGCAGGGTCTTATCTCTGCACTGTTAGATCAAAGAGCACTCCTGCACAGCTGTGCAGTGTGCAGGCACGGTTACTAGCCCTCTACAAAACACACTGGCTTGGTGTTGACTTGCAGGACTGTGAGACAGGCATCACACGTGAAACTCATGATGAAGAGTTTGGGAATTTTTAATAAATGGATATCTAATGTTAGACTATCGTTTAGGAACCTAAATGAATACCCTCACTTTCAGAACACAAAAAGTTCCACAGCACCCAAGGAATCCAAGTGAAGGGATTTTTCAAATATATAAATTGATTTTATCTGGCACCAAAAAGGGACAATACAAAAATGTGTTTGAAAATGTCTCCGGAACTTCATATGCCCTGGAATACTCACTGGCCACCAACACTATAAAAATGCTTTCAATTTGAAATTTTTTTTCTATGGCTACATCTGCTAGAGACATATATACACATATACATATAGAGACACATATACACAAAAAAAGACCAAACAGGAGGAAATGATGTATATTTGACAGCACTTCTTATACTTGAAGTGCTGTCAAATATACATCAGGCTTGAAGATCACTTCTAAAACCAGTGATTTCCAACAAGGATTTGATTCTGAAGGAATAATGTCACATCTAAGAGTTTATGAAAGCAATAGCCGTTCCTTTGTTGGAAGCAGAAACTACCCACTTGCTAGCCTATTTCAGCAATTCGATGTACAATTTGTTGTAAAAAACCTACTCTGCTGACAGAGAACAGGTGACCCTTGTAAAAGTACAAATAGTTAGTTACCTTTTACTTTCAGATTCACTGGGTACGTGATTTGCTCTGACTGTCCTCTTTCATTCTGGAGTGACGGCTGGAATGTTCTGCTGTGAACAAAAAGCATAATAGGGATCACAGGGATCAGGTGAATTCAAGGCCACAAACAATGTCACGTAATCAGGAATGGCGGACTCTGCATCAGTCAACTTCTCATGAAGTCAAGGTGATGGTATCAGCAGGAATATTTTATCCCCTCCTGCTTTTGCTGGAGACCGCCCAGGGATCAAAGCAGACTGGGTCAGGGATCCCCTTCCTCTGTCTTTTGGGATTCAGTGGGGTCCCCTACTGCCTCAGACACTGAGCACCCACAGTCTCTAACTGGTGTACCTCCTGAACCTACCTGGGAATTAGGACAAAGCTGCTGTCCCCTTCTTACAAATGGAGCACGAAGGAACAGGCAGACTGTTGCATAAATTCTTAATTGTGCTTGGTTGTGTTTTGGCATTTGAGTATGAGCTCCTCCTCAGCATCATCTCCTCTTCAGCTGTGGGTTAGGCACTTGGGTACCTCTTTGGCTTTTGGCATAAATGACTTCTTCAGTGCCACATACAGACAACATGGAAAGCCTGGATCTGACAATGACATTCTTGGGCTGATTTAAAAGGAGATTCTGTCATGAAAAATCTCCCCTTTGAGATTATGTGCCTCACAAAATACTAGTAATATAACCAGAAAGCAGGATTTTCTTGCAAGATTGTGTACTACATTTAAAAAGATTCATATGTTCTAATAAGATGAGAAGAGAGGGGTGAAAAAGCAGAATAAATAAGACTTTCATGCATTGTGGTATTCAAAAAAAGCTCAGCATCAGCTTAACACAGCTTTCAAATTTGTCAGAGGCAGAGAGGAGCTGAAATAATTTTAGCCATTACTCCCCATGAAGGCCACACCTTCATGGCAAAAAAGGCACGTTTTTACACTGGATTAGTTATCCAGCTTGAATCAGGCACACTGTGCATACACGTTATCCAATCTTTACTTACATGATCCCATGTCTGTCCTCTGCAGAGGCTCTGCTGCACTCAGTCCACAAGGCAGAGATGCAGAGGAACTCACTTGGACTCACCAGATTGGATGAGTCTATTAATTCCAAGTCAAGAACACAGAATGAATCCAAGTGCCTTTTTCAAGCAGAACAGTGGGAACAAACAATGTTCAGGAGAAAATGAAGCTCAAGGACTGAGCAGGAATATTATTAAGTTAATAGGAAAAGCAGAGAGGTTCAGGGGAAAGAGGGGAAGGAATTTATTCATTAACTTGTCCCACCATTGTGGGGTTTGTCCATTTGTAAGCACTTGGACCACAGTCCTCCTCCCCTCCCTTTGATGCACTGACATAGGGTCTGGCCCTGCATAGCAATTTATGCCTTCCAATGTACAAGGTAATTAATCCTTCCAGTCTTGGTGAGGCAAGAGCTGTCTACATGGCTCAAAGGCTCTCTCTACTGATGGGGAAACTGAAAAAGAGAGAACTGACTTTCTCCAAGTCACAAAGTACATCCTTAGCAGAACTGAGAAGGGTTCAGAAAACTGTAGGGTACAGAAATCCCAGTTCTGAGCTCAGCCCACACATACACAAATCGTATTTTTTAATGTCTTCTGCCAGTCACACTGACAGAAGGGTTCTGGGATCTGCTGACTTCGTGTCCTGGCAGTTCCTCTGATAGGATTGGTGCTCCCCTCCCTGTACCATCAATTCATCTGGTAGTAGGATAACTGTTTCAGGGTAATGATGACATACACAAACAAGGTCAGCAGCCTTACAACTAAGAGATTATTAAATTAAAGCAAAGCAGGAGCTAACACACCAAGTTACCACAGTGTCCCAGGTGCAGACAGTGCAAGAAGCTCCTCTGTGTTTGCTAATTGGATAGCAGATATCTCTGTTTATACAGGCTGCCAGATGCACCTAAAATAGACATCTATAAATTATTCTCCTGCCTAAAATGAGACTCAATGACACTCATCTGTGCAGGTATAATTTTATTTTATACATACTTGGAACTAAACTCAGCCCAGCTGCATGTCAACATAGATAGTCTGCCATGAAGAGTCCTCCTAGAACTCATAGGATGGGAACAGTTAGCCTCATCCCAGTCTGAATTTGTTCAGCAGTGAGATACAGGGACCTTAATGACAAACACACCCTGCACTGGGAAGGACAACTGGGACATGTTGTCAGCTAGGATGTCAGTAACACTACGGAGAAGCAATCATTTAGCAACACGTGAGCCCACAGGTGCCAGAAGAGCTATCATCTGCCACTGTATTTAGAATAGGAAGTAACTGTGGCAAGGTTTGTTTGTATTTTTTAATAGCAGACAGTATAGATAAAACCACAGAACACAGCAGAAGAAAGCCCCTCACTCTAATACCTTTATCTCTTCCCAGATATCACTGTACAATTTAGATGCTGCCGTTAAATCTTTGCTTGCACACAGCAAGCCCTACACAACAGCCCATATAAAAACAGGGATGCTTTTCATTCCCTATCATTTATTCCACTCGACTGAATGTCCTCCACGTGCTTGTCGGTCTCATCCCTCTGTTGGGTGGGCACATATACACACAGAGAAACTGCAGTATGTTCTTAGCCTATTCTTAAGCAGCCCACCCTAGACACAGACACACAAAGGGCATTAATAGCACAGACAATAGGAAAAAGAATCCCATTTGCTGCAACTTTCTGAAGTTTCAAGTGATTTGTGAGCTGTTTCAGCAGATGGAGCCATTGCAGTATACACCATGAACTGCCAACTAGGCCAATTCAGCGTGTTCAAAGGAAAAAAAAGCTTCTTCCTGCTGTGAGGGTATTTTCAAAAGAATCCTCAGCTGTATCCTCTGTATCCAGGCAAATGTGTGTCATCCAGGCAGCTACATGCTCTTTTAGCAAATGGTTTACCTTGTCCTGAATGTCCTATGACTGATTTTTAGATCTATAGGATCATTAGTAAGTATACTTTAGTATTACAACTTAAGCTTATGGTTTTAAAGTGCATTTGAAAGCTGGCAGGTCCCCAGATAATGCCCACTCAGTAATTCTGGTACAAAGAGACCAGTCTTTGGCATGATAATCAGCTGCTTCTCATTGGTGCCAAAATCCATTTTTTTTAAAGGTCAGATGTCACTACCATGTGGAAATGGCATATAGCTGCAGTTGCTGAACTTTTACATTGCAGGATACCCCTGGCTGGTGGAGTGAGGAGGTTTTCAGAATATTTACACACATGCACACACATATTGAGGAAAGTAATACAAGTCAAGTTTCCAGAAATATATTCATTTATGAGTATGACTCTTTAAAGGATCCAGAAAGATAACTATGGTCATAAACTTAGGCATAAAACAGTGAGCAATTCATCGTCCAATCAGAATTTGAGGTAAATGGATTAATAATCTCCAGCTCAAGCATCTAATTAAGAAGCTGCATTCATCAAAGTCTTCTGTTGACATTATACGTTACTGAAGGGGAATTGGGATTGAATATCTCCTTGGGATGCAGACTCATTACCATTTTCCCTGACGGAGGCTACACACATATACAAGGAGCAGAGATTATTACATGTACTATAAAGGACAGAATGCCTTCAAGAACTGAGCCCTTATGCTTTGCATGCTGTGTAAGACCCGCTCATAAGCTACAGGAGAGTAACTTATCAAGTCTGTCCCATATACTTTTAAATGCTTTGTAATTTTGAGTGTTAAAGATGGTACAGCAGCTCTTCCATAGTGACAATCACATCAGTTCTGGGACATGTTGCCATGATACTGCTGGGCTGATGGTAAATCAGGGTAACACTTCTAGCCCAAACCAAATCTCTCACCTAGAGATAGGGCTTTCACTCCAGAGATCACCACAGCAGGGAACTTCACACTGAAAGCAAGTGAAGAGGCTGCAATAGCAAGTCTATACATTCAGCACCATGAACCTATGAAGGACACAATGGCATGCTATCACATTGCCCAGGGACAGCTTGGCCTTATGAGTAATGTGCTGTAAATCAAGGGGAATTTGGTGAAATTGAGAGCTCATGGAAAGGCTGGACACCAACCAAAGTTAGGCATGCAAGGCATTTCTGCCATGCATTTCCACTAAAGTCTGGAGGTCTAGCTTCTAATGTAAAATTCAGTCCCAGGCTCCAAATCAAAGCCTTCTCATTGCACTAACTCCTGTGGTAGTTTTGGATTGCAACAGCTATTGAAATTGAGGCCACAAAGCCCTTCTCACTGGGGAATAAATCTAAATTTAGACCCTAATCTTCAAATGAACATATGAAGCTGATCTACTTCAGTGCATTACTAACGTTCTTTACAAATATATGATGTCTTAAAGGCATTTTGCTTCCATCAGTGTATATGTGGCAAAGAGTTGGATTAAAAGGATGGATTCTGTTAGAAATATCCATCATTATACAGTGCAAGCACAATCAATAAGGAATCAATTCACCCACCTTTTTAAAATACCTTTCTATAAAAACTGCTGGAAGTGCAAGCAAAAGAGAAGTTGAAAAGAAGGAAATCATAAAACATTAAGAAATAACTGTATCATACACTGGTGTGAAGACGCTGTTGGTGTGTATGCTCAGAGGCTGAGCTTGCTGGCAGCAATGGCAAACTAGAACTTCTTTGGGGATCATCAATCAGGCTGCTGCAAGTCAGGAGTTGCATTTATGGAGCTGAAGTTTCCGAGCCCAGGCACTCAGAAGAGGTTACCTAGAAGTGACAGAGTGAAAAGGTAAGACTGCAAATAAGACAAAACATATTCCTGGCCAGCTGCTAAGCCATCCTCCTGGGGAAGTCTGAGCTCTCTCATAAGAAGACTTCTGTGGATGAGGCAGCTTGCAATGGCATCACACGAAAAAGCTGGGCAGAGACTCTATAAGAATCCACAGTTTTAAACTGCTCCTGTAGAGTTGTCTGTGTAGTCCAAGAGTGTCTCTTCAAACATTTTTGTGTCAGCCTGCTGAATTAGGGAAAGGAATCAATACCACCTCTCTGACATCTCAGGAGGCTGGGTTTCCATGAGACATTAACTCTGAAACCTAAATGCAAATTTAAATTCAGTGCTTTTAAGGGTGTCATTCCTAATCAATTTTGTAGAAAGAGCTAACTGTTTTGGTGTGGACCGTCAGAGTGAACTGTGATGATGCCATTACCTCCTCAACTAATTATTCAGAATAAAACAATGCAAAGGAAAATTTAAAAGTAGACGAACATTCATGCAGGGAAACAAGATGAGCAATGTTTATTAGGAATGGGAGCTAAGTGTCTATTTTCTAGTGCTTGTGATGGTTTGACCTCAGCCAGCAGCCAAACACCCTCCCAGCCCCTCCCTCACTCCCCTATCCTGCAGGATGAAAACAGAAGGAAAGTGAAAAGACTCATGGATCAAGTTTAATAGGGAAAGCAAAGGCAAAAAGAGGAATTCATTCACTACTTCCCATCAGTGGGCAGATGCCCAGTCACTGCCTGGAAAGCAGGGTCTTAGCATGTGTAACCATTGCTTGAGAAGACAAATGCCGTGACGATGAATGTACCACCTCCCACCTTCTTTCCCTGAGCTTTTATTGCTGAGCACAATTACATATGGTATGGAATACCCCTTTGGTCGGCTGTTCCAGCCATATCCCTTTCCCCATCTCTTGCCCATCCCCAGTCTACTCACTGTCGGAGGGAGCAGAAAAAAGCCTTGCCCCTGTGTGAGCACTATTCAGCCATAGCCAAAACACCGGTGCATTATCAACACTGTTTTAGCCACACACGCAAAGCAGAGCACCATACAGGCTGCTATGAAGAAAGTTAACTCCATGCCAGGCAGGTCCAGTACAATGCTCCGTAATAAAATATTCCTAATGTTTAAAGTCAAAGTAGGCTTGAATGCACAGGATGTTATAAACAACCTATTGCAATTTTAATCAATTGCATTAGACCTTTATTTTCAAGGTTTGACTCATGCATTTCATATTGTTAACATTTCAGATATGCTAATCACCTCTGTGTTTCCACCCTTTGTGGAAAAGGGGCAACAAACTGCTGTGTGCACCAAGAAGTTCCCAGGTGCACCCGAGTTCACCACCCGTTCTGACACTGGCCCAAACCCTCAGCTGAGACACATCAGCAGGTCTCACCTGGTTGAGATTTTCATCTCCTTCACTTGGTTCTATTCCAAACAAAATTTCTACCATGTGAACAAAGTTTGTCTGTACAGGAAACCAATAAGCCATGGCTACAGTGCTGTGAAGTCCCTCTTTGGTACCTCATGTCCCATTGACAATTACCTCCTAAAAACTGTTGCAGAGCCGAGCCTTGGTCTGTGGAATGAGCTCATCAGGAACCACAAACCCCATTACGCTTCACCTGAAGTAAAAATGACTATCATCCAGTCTGGCATCTCTATTAGAAAGCCACAGAAGTGTGGGCATTTAGAAATGAAGCAGAGAAACAACTCTGCACTGCATACAAGCCTCAGAAAGGACGTAAGGGAAAGGCTAAAATGTAAATGACACATTACTTAATGCACTCCGAGGCTCCAGGATGGAGGGCATTAGTCAAAAGCAAAGCATTTGCATTGAAGCACCAATCAAAGAAAGTTTAAATCTTTTTAAGGACTGTTCATTATAATATTGAGAGATGCTATAAACAAAAAAAAGTCACCATTGGTGAACAGATAAAACTGCACTTCCTGTAGTGGATTTACATCTATTTATGCCATGGAGATATTTGGTCCTGAAATTCTGTGAGATGATACGTTTTTGAACTCCATATTTTGCAAATAAGGTCTAAAACCATCACTCATCTCAATGAGATTATTCTGGGTTTGCCAAACCTTCCCCACTGAATGTGCTTTTCTGTTATTTTACTAGCTCTGCTTGTAAATACAGGATCATAAGAAAATGAGAAAACTGGAAGATAGGCAGTCTCTCTCGGAAGAGGTTAAAACCCTGCCAAAAATCCACATCTGGGATTGTGTGATAAAGCCTGCCACTGAGTATAAGCTACAAAATCCAGAGAAAATACATTTGCTTTTAAAATATCTCATGGGGTTTTGTCACTTCTGAATATAGCATTCCTGGATATTTAGCTGATGACACTTGCACACTGCTGACTTACTGGCAATGAGATACATGGCTGGTTACTTACAGGGGTGTGTCATGAAAACCAAGATAAACTTTATAGGATCAAAGAGTAGTCCATGCCTGAAAGCGAAAAGCTGTCAGATTCGAGGATCGACTGTGACAGGGTGTTCTCAGAACTACAGAGCCACTCAACTGCCAGATGATGCAAGCTGCCTGTCTTGTCTCTTCTTCGCATTCCCCCACACCATGAATCACTGGACTGCTTCCAGACAGGATGTTCAAAATGAACTGCATCATCCCCTTAATCCTTTGACTCCAAGGGTTAACATCTCAAATTCTCCCCAGACGCTGCGCAAGCTCCCACTACCTGGGATCGCTCGCCTGGTCAGGCAGGTGATAGCGGGTAGGGAGGGTGGATCCTGCAGGACTCCAAAGGCATGCTTTCAGCAGCTCAGAAAACGCTGCTATCAACCCACCTCTTAGATGGCTTCCTCTCATTCACAGCAGCTACCTCTCTGCCTCCCAAAGATGCCAGGAATGCAAGCAAGAGACTCTGGATTTGCTCTGCTCCTCATGGACCTCCTGGCTGTTATCATATTAATAGGCTTTTCCACTGGGGCACAGAATTTTTGGTGTGCTAATTCTGACTATAATCACATTGTATTAGCCAAATTCTCATTATGTGTTCAGTGTAATGTGACACTTCTATAGTGGTTTTTTACATTGCAGGATGAAAAAAACCTCTTCACAAGCTACAAACAAGATTCTCTACTTTTTGGCCCAATGTAGTATGCTCCAGCAAGGTGCTGTTAGATTTCACTTCCCATGTGTGATCAGAATAAAAACAGTGCGGATCTTTTCCTATTCTAGCATGCCTCAAAAACATGGGACAGCCTGACCAGGTATCCACAGTCCAGAAATGAAAAGCAGCAGATTTAATGTATTCAGAGATTCTGCTGGCCAAAGACAACAAGCCATGGGCCAAAAGGAGCATTCACACTCTGGCCAAGCAAAGGGAGATCCTGTTCCTAAGAACCCTGGAATATCAGCATTCTGCTCATCCAGCGTGGATGGATGAAGGGCTGGAACAATGCTGGTAACACTGAAACCATGGTTCAAAGAGCACAGGCAGTTGAAAATATGAAATGTAGCTGACTGCCATCCTCTCCAGCTATTGATCCTGGGTCACTGATATAGACAACATGGCAGATAAAGGGAGGAGAAAAAAAAAAAAGGAAAAAACCACCAGATACAAGAAATCTGAATGAAGGCAGTGAAGAAACTGGTAGCATTCATGTTTTGGTAACTTAATGAATTCAAGCGCTTAGTCTAGATCTTGAGAAATAAGTAACATTGCCTTTTTTTTCAGTAACTCACTTAAAACTCTCCAGAGTAACGTGGAGAAAAGTGAAAGCCTAGAATGAAGAAAAAAATTACCAGGATATAAAGAGAAAAATATTCAGAATATCTGTAGTCAGCTATTACAATTGCTTATCCAAGTCTGAAAGACAAAGAATAATATTTACTTTTTTACAGGGGTAAAATTTGTAAGTTTTAGCTTGCTTTTACTGGAAATGTCCTGGATAGCTCAGAAAAAAAGCCCAACATAATTTAGAAAGTGAAGGTCATATAGCACCCCACCCCTCTATCTTCCTTTCAAACCAGTCATCAGTTTCTAGTTTTTGTGTAATTACTTAAAAAAAATAAAATAAAAAAAAAGCTTTCTTCTGTAAACAAATATTGATTATTCATTAGATGTTTTTTTTGTCTCTGGGCATTGAGCAGCCTTTTGCTGAACAGAATTGGAATGCTTGCAATTAATTGGAAAAGCATAATTTCCAGTATCTCCCTACAATATTTACTGCAAATGGTGAGACATAAGAAAAAGGAAATTGCTGATATTTAATGTTTTATACTGTGGAAATTATTCACTGTTTTCTTCAGCAGCTTGAGTACTTTACAGGTAGGAATGGGTCTCTCTCAAGAATGAACATGGTACTTGTCTTTCATCCATGTCATTTGAATGGATGTAAATGGAATAAATTTTTTTTTTTCTACTCATACTATCACAGTGACCCACAGACACCGAAAGTTTGAGAAATGCCCCCCCATTTGTATTTACTGCAGATATATGATTCTGCCCAGTAATAATCTGTTTCCTTAATTTCTTGCTGAAGGCAGTTATCACAGTTATCATTTTCCTACACTTCTAAGCAAAAACAATAATAAATTGCCATCAAGGGAACCCCAACTGCAAGAAAACACCAACAATTTTGCAGTATTCCCATTTAAATCATAAAAAGTTTTAGCAACATGGCACCACTCCTCAAAACAAGAAACCTTCAAATTGCTGCTGCTGACTTAACTGTGACTTTCCACTTACCAGCAAAACTACACAGTGGTTAAAAATGCCTTCAAAGTTGCTGAATCCTCTCCTGCATAGTAACAGAGATTCACACAGTGAATGACAGCTGCGAAAAAAATAGAGGAGTTCTAGAAATGCTTGTATTTTCACTTTAGTTGTCAAAAATGCTGTTTGCAATAGCAGCTCTAGCATCTGGTTTATCTTACCACTTCAATACTCCTTTTTAGTAGGTGATTAAAAGATTTTGAAATTCATTCTACAAGCTGGCCAGAGTCCCTGCTAACCTTGCTGCCTTCTTGCTTGACTAGAAGCTGGAAGCCAGAGACCCTTCCCATAGGATGACTGGCTACCCTAAATCCCTTCACTTCTTGTGGCTGTTCTCCTACATGCAAAGTGTGACACAATCCTCCTCCTTTCCTCTACGTGGAAAGGAATGATAACTTTGAGATGTAAATATGAATATGGTGTATCATTAATACTACTGCTGAATCTTTCACATTTGCAGCTAAACTGAACAGTGAAGTGACTACCTCCTTGGTTTAACTTTTGCTGCTACCCCTTTTCCTTCAAAAAATAAAGTTATACTAGACTGTAGAATCTGTCTCTTGGAGAGCAGTATTTATTCATATGACACAGCACTTAACTCTCTGATAATCCTACTGAAGCCACTTGGTTTGCTTGATTCATATGCCCGTATTTGCACAACAAAGGGGTTGAAAAAGCTTGTATCAAATATACAGTAGGGCATTACTTGCAAATAAGAACTCCCACTGCCCCTGTCGAGTCAACTGATTAGGAAATGCAAATTTGTTGAGTGAAAGCTCCAGGGAGGAAAGGAATGATCTAAGTAGCATCAGAAAGCCTGGGGACATGGTCAAAGGGTATATGCTACAATGTGTTGCCTCCTATTAGCTGGACACAACAGAACAGAAAGCTCCTCTCTCAGAAGTGTGCACACCACATGCCTGATTTTACTCCTGAACTCAGGGGCCTTCAACCAGGATTAGACAGTGAGATTCTGGCTCCACTGAAGTCAGTTGTCTCATCTCGGGATCTTAAGACAGCCAAAATGTCTGCCAGCATTTCTGATTACCTGATAACAAACACAAATAAGAAAAGCAAGTCATCCTACAATCCTATCTGGTAATTCAGATCCTATGTGACAGGGGACAAAGGCTCAATTATCAACCTTAGTTTGTGCTGTAGTTCAGTCCAATACATTGAGACTGATGATTCCTCTCTCACTGTGACCTTAAAAAGTAAGGTGAGGTCACAGAGAGTGGTATTTCCTGCTCCCATCAACATCCTTCAGCTTTTTCAGTTGTCCTATTTCCTGCATTTAATGTTATTTAAATTACCCATGATGGCAGTATCAGCTGACTCTGTCGTAACATCACATACACATGCTGTCATAACACATCTCAGCAGCTGTGCAATACACATAGACATCATCTTGCTCTGATCAAACGGAAGTCCCTAGAAGAAGCAGGGAACATAATTTTGCTTCTCTGAATTTATCTGAGATATTAAATTAGCTGAATTTTGTGGTATTCAAGATTTAAGGCATACATAGATGGAATGTAACAGCTGTCCCTTTATTTCTAAGTTTTCATTCTTTCCCATACTTTGAAATCCTCTCAATTTATCTATTGTACCTGGGAAGTAATTTGGGTTTTAACCATCACAGCTCAAGCTTACTTCTGTCATATTTTGCTCTGTCATTACTCAGTTTTTGGCATATGCCTTCGCCTCCTGCCTCTTTTGCTTCACCTCTGCCTTCTCTCAACATCTTTTTCCCTGTCTTCTTCTTAAGTACTTTTGCTCCTCTCTTTACTCTGGTTATTGAGGAATTCTGTTATTCTTTGTCCCTGTAAAGCTACAGGTTCTGATTCCCCTCTCAGAGTACTCCTGCTAGTGTAGCTGCATGTGACTCATTACATTTTCACCTTACACAAATGCAGGAGGACAATGAAGTCTCCAGTTTACAAATCCTCCAAGTACAAAGAGGTTCATTTATGACATTCCTTTTCTTCCAGGAAGGTCTTGAAATCATATGTATGAAAATATAATATGGTTTAGGATGCTGAGATCATTATGAATATTTTTATACTAAATTCACACACAGGCGTTCAAGAATAAGAAACCTGCCTAATACCTTTCTCAGGGTGAGAAGGCAAACATACTACAAAAAAAGGGTGACATAATTTTGTCTACCAAACCCATCATTCTTTAAAATTCTCACAAAAGAACAACTTTTCAACTGATTTTACATGAGCATAAATGTCTTTCCCTTTGTGTTCTTTCAACTTTGCCCAGTACCTTAGGCTTACTGCACCTCTGTGCCTTATTTCAGTATCACATGCTACAGGCTGAGGCATCTTCAGACACAGGCAAGCAGTACTTTTCTTTCTTTTTTTCCAGATGTCTTACTTCTGCACCCTAGAAAATGAGCATATTCCATTTGTATAGTTCTCTCTTCTCGTTCACAGTGCAAGCTTTCATATTTAGCAGAGATTTTGTTTCCTAAACCTGATTAAGCAGGGAATATTTTTACTAATCCAATTCAGCAAATTATATTTTTATCAGAACTGCCCTTTAGAAAGAGCTTTTGGAAATTGCTCTGGAATTAATTTGGAAAATGTGCACAAATAGAGGGATTTCTTTTCCAAACAGAAAGATTTAATCTCTCCTTAGGAAAAAAAGTGAAAACAAGACAGGGCAATAGTTAACATTGCTAACTCTAATATAATGTCTGTTTTCTGTGCCATAGGTAGAAATTCAGCATCTTACAAGAGATGACCTCTTATATTAAATATCTTTTCAGAAGCATGCTTTTCCCTTACAGCTGTTGTCAGGATTTAATGCATCTGACTAATGGAAAAAGGGACATTCTAAAATCAGCAGTGTGCAGGCATCGCGTTACAAACACACATGCATACATTCTTCTGCTCCTGGGTTACGATTTCTGACACTTGTCTAACAAAGTATTTAGATTTTTGCAAATCCAGCATGCTACAGTTCACAAAAAGCTTGCCATTTTTCTCTTGGCTGGATATTTAAAGCATATACTGTCATACTACCCAAGGAATGCATAGGTGATGGAGGTACATCATCCTAAGGTCTGTCTCCACTGCCTGTGCTTTATTTTTCTTAGTACAAAATAAAATAGCACAAAATTTAATTAGCTGGTGAAAATTTGATTATTTTGACTTTGATCAAGATATTAAAGAACTAGCATGCTAATTAATGAAGACAAAATAATATCAAATCCCAGTGGATCCAGCTTGAGCAAACAGCAGCATGAAGAATGCTGAGGTTGTAAGAATCAAAACATAATTGAAGAGGCACTGCCTTACGCCTTAGTCATGGATGGAAAATGTCACTGAACCACCAAATCCCCTATAAATAACTCCATCATTATTTTTCAGGGACACTGTCAGGTCTCTGGAGTTTCAACCCTGCTCAATTGTTTGTTTTTCTTCCTTAGTGGAATAAAGACTGAAATATTTACTAGATTATTTAAATGTTATTTTGTAGACCACTGTATATAGAAAGAGTAATGTTTTCAGCATATACAGCTTATTGAATACCAAGAAAACTTCAATGTGATGAAAAATGAACTAATTTTGTAACACCAAAATGAGAAATAAAAAAAATATCAGCACGTCAGGTTCTAATATGAAGTGAAATTCAGGTAAAACTAGGAGGTAACCACTTCTCTTATGCTTATACAATCAAACCCAGAATTTAGCAGAGGGTATTTGATTCTGCCATCAAAATATCACTTCATTTCTTATTTTGTAGCACTAAAATACTTTGGGATGTAGCTGTGGTATACATAGCTCATTAACACCAAGTCCTGCCTGGTCAGCACAGCCACATCTGTCAGCCTGCTCCTGTACTCTGCAAACGACGCACACCCTTAATTGCCCAACACACAGGGGTAACTAACCGCGCGAGCAGCACTTGTTTGCCTTTTCATACAGCCAACTGGTAGGTTCAGTTGAATGTGTTTGAGGTGCAGGGTGATCCCTCACCTGCCAGGACAGCTGTTCCGAGGCACCTCACTGCTGCTCTGCCTGCGGGCCCTGCCAGAGGACAGGGGCTTTGTCAGCCAGCACCGCCGGCCCTGAGACGGGAGCAGGCTGCTGCGGGGGAGCGCTGCTGCCCGTTCAGCCCGGCCCGCCTGCCGAACGCCCCCAAGGCACCGCTTTTACCGAGGCCTGCCTGCAGGGCAAAGGCTGGCGGCCGCAAGGAACTGCCCAGGGCGCAGTCGGGAGCCGCCGCCACAGCTGTCCCTTGCGGTAACGGTGCTGGCGGAGGACAACCGCCGGCAGCGGTAACGGTGCTGGCGGTGGACAACCGCCGGCACGGGCAGGACAAGGCCCCGTCAGGCCCGGGGCTCGACAGCTCGGAGCCTGGGGCTTGGCCCGGCAGCGCCTGCCCGGGCCCTGCGGCCGCCAGGCGGGAGGGCGGCGGCGGCGGCGGCGCCAGTGCGGCCGCGAGAGGAAACGCCCCGCCGGGCCCGGGGCCGACCCCGCGGCGGCGGGCCGTGTCACAGCGCATGCGCGGCGGCGGCGGCGGCGGGCGGGCACGGGGCGGGTTTGACTGGCTGCGCGGGAGTCCCGGCGCGCTGGGGCCGCTCCGGCGCTCGCTCGCCCGGCCATGTCCGAAGCGTATTTCCCCGTGGGACCCGGACTGGGCCTGGAGGAGAACTTCCTGTCGCTGGACGACATCCTGATGTCGCAGGAGAAGCTGCCGGGCCGCGCCGAGAGCAGCCTGCCGCGCCTGGCCTTCGCGCTGGGCCAGGGGGCCGGCCCTGGCGACGCCATCCCTGAGGTGACCGGCGGGGGAGCGGCGGGGGGGGAAAGAACTACAACTCCCAGTAGCCACTGCGCGGGGGCGCGGGGGGCGCTGGGAGCTGTAGGCGCGCCGGGCTGGGCCGGTGGGGGCTGCGCGGCTGCCGCGCCCGGGGGTAGCCGGGGGTCGGCGGTCGCGCCCCCCATCTCTGTCCGCGCGTCCCAACCCCCAGGTTTTGGGGTCACTGAAAGGAAACTTATGCTCCTAGCTCCTTTTTAAGTTCTTTTTGCATAGTGTTTTGTTTTGTTTTGTTTTGCTTTGGTTTTTTTTTTTAAACTTTTTTCTTCTGGTGTTTAATAATATGACAATTATTGGATTATATAAAATAAAAAAATAATCTGCTGTGAGAGCATTGCAGTAATAACCGGTGCCTCTAAAGTGTGTCTGGTTTATATTACAATTACAATAGACTGTTTTGTAAACAGAACTGACTGTTTCTAATACTGGATCTGTATTAATAAAGTTCACTATCTTTGGGGTCGTTTTACATGTATTTTCATGGCAAGGACAACTTCTGGTTTTTTCTCATTCTTGCAGGGATCAAAGCTGGAAATACCTTTGTGGCTTGCAAAAGGTCTGCATGACAGCAAAAGAAGAATAATTTCTGTGGAACTGCCAAAGATTTACAAGGAAGCCTGGAGGACAGTGTTCAGCGCTGATGCCAATGTGGTTGATCTGCATAAAATGGGGCCATATTACTATGGATTTGGCTCCCAGCTCCTGAATTTTGACAATCCAGAGAATCCTGAGATAGCTCAGACTATCCTGCAGGTGAGTATCTGAACTAAGTCTTGAAATTTGGTTTTACAATTTTTCTGTCTTCCTCCTGTTCCCAGGCACTCAGCAGTCTTCAGGAGAACTACCCAGTTTTAATCCAAATGATTTCTGGTTTGAGTGTGGATTTCTAGGTCAAGTTGTAGGATGACCCTTTTGCCAACGGCACAGTCTAGTGGTGGAAGCCTCTAGTCTGCATCCAGGAATGTAATTTTAGCTGGCAGTTTCCACACTGTATATACAGTATTTCATAAAATCCTCCTAGAGGAGACGTAAGATTATTTAATCATGCCCTTGCTTCAAGGCAGAATTAATTCACCCTCTGTTATTTCTGGTTTTCTACCTTGTTTTTAAAACTGTAGTGATGAAAATTCACACTGCTCTTGGCAATCTGTTTCAGTGCTTTGCCATCCTAATCTTAGGTTTCCTCTTATGTCTAAACTAAAGCTCCTTCGCAGCAATAAAAGTTCTGTTCTGTTTGTCTCGTACAAAGTAAATGCTGAGGACAGATTATTCTCTTCCTTCCTGCAGCAGTCTCAATTCATTTGGTATCTCTTTGTGGGTTATGCTTTCTAACAGTAATTGTCCTTACTGTGCATGGCTGGTATCTTTCCTCCACTGTGACGTGCAGTGCCCTGAAGTCTGCTCAGGACTTGTGCCAATGAAAACAAAAAGATTACTTTGTCAGTTTTGTAGGCCATGATGATCTTTGCTCAGCATGGTGCAGCATCTTGTTTTTCACGATAGAGTAACAGTGATATGTATTCGGTTTACAGCCCACAGTAAGACGGTAGGTTTCATATGCAATTGTTCCTGCATTTGTACAGTTCCCTATTTCTGCCTTCATGTAAAATTAACATTAATCCCAGCTGAATTACATCCTGTTGTTTTCACACTATCTTACTAATTTGTCAGGATCATTATGAATTAAAGAGTTTTGCTGCCCAACTTGCTTACAGTCATCCCTCCTCCTTCTCCTTCATGTTGTTTCCTAATTCAATAAGCATACCTTCAGTTCCTTTAGCGAGCGTATTAATATATCAAATGGTACTTGGTTCCAGGTAGACCCCTGTTGAACTCCACTTGATGTATTCTTCTCTCCTGACAGGAGCAGTGGGTAATTGTCTCTACTGACCACCTACACATGGTTTAGCTAAATCTTACAAGAATGCCCCATGGCAGATACCTGGCTGCTGCTTTTCCTCCCTTTGTAAGGCCTAGCATCTTGTCATAATAGAGCTAGGCTGGTCTCTCAAAGCTTCATCTTGGCAAGTCCATTCTCTTTATTTTCTCGCAGAAGTTAATGTATAGTTTATTTGTTCCATTCTGTTTCCAGGAATTGATACTCATGGATTTATAATCCCCTGGCTCTTCCTTCCTTCCTCTCCATCTCCCCTTTCTCTTTTAAAAGATAGATACCATCTTTGCCAGCTTCTGGTCTTCTGTGCTTCTTGAGCTTTTAAAGATAACCACTAACAGCTCTGAGATTTCTTCAGCCAGCTCTCTAAGTAGTCTGGGATGATTGCTATTTTTTTTTTTCTTTTTTTTTTTTTTTTTTTCCCCCTCTGTTCTTTAAATGAAGGCTGATGCGGAGAGGCTTTCAAGCACTGCTGCTTTCTTGGAGTTGTCCACTGAAAGCTTTCTTTCTGCATTGAGGAGGTGACCGCACCTTTCCTTATCTTTTCTTTTTCTGCTGATGGACATCTTAGGAAAAAAGCCATATTAACACACATTACTTGTTGACAGAAAAATCAAAGCACACAAAGTATACTTTATTAAAAGCAAAGAAGAGGGGATTTGTTCTGATTTAAAAAGTAAACAGAACACCAAAAATAAAAACTCTCTCCCAATTATTTGGGAACTATAAATGTGTAGTATAGCTGTTTTGTGTCAAGGCCGAAATGAGAGTTATTAATATATTTATTCTGTAAGTAAATCTCAAAAATACTGCAGTTCTGATAATTCTGAAATAGCAAAGCACAGTTTTCAAAGTTTTAACCTTTTTTTTTTTTTATTATTCCCAAAAGCAAAAATGAGGAGGGAAATAAAAATCCTTAAATATTTCTTGGTGCTTAGCTTTTTAAAATCTTTATTAGTTGTAGATTTGGTTTTTTGACTTTTTTGGTGTTTAAGTGTTTTTTCAGCATATTGAATCCTTTACATTGGCTGTTTGGCTTAACTTCCAGGCTGTTCACAAGTCGCAGCTTGTATGTTCCTGCAGCAGCTGCTGTGGCATGAGATTCATTCCACCCGCTCTAAAGCAATGATTGCTTGTGAAGTGAGATGAAATAGATCGTAATTGTGTTATACCTTGTGGTCTGCTCAAGCCTGTCATTAGGAAGCAGCCAAAATCTAATTCCATGTTTGCTTCTCATCCAGTGTATCAGGCACTTGCTCTCCCAGCTTGGGCAGGAAATGGTTTGTCTTTGTGTCCAAGGTTAATAGGTGCTCTGCTGTTTGCAGACCCTTGACTAGTTGTCAGCTAGAGCCTACACCTTTGGCTTTTCAGTTTTGAAAGGTCAGGCCTCTAGCATTTGAGCTGAAGAAGCCTCTGTGTTACCTGTCAGTAATTCTGCTTATCTCTGTTAGACATTTATTAGCCGTTTTCGTCGTATCATGGACTCCTCTCAGAATGTCTACAACGAAGACACATCAGCGCTGGTGGCTCAGCTGGATGAATTGGAGCGAGCCTTATTTCAAGCTGGCCAGAAAGGGCTGAATGACTTCCAATGCTGGGAAAAGGGACAGGCTTCTCAAATCACAGCTTCCAGTCTGGTCCAGAATTACGGAAAAAGAAAGTTCACAGATGTGGATGGTTAAAAGCCTGAAGAACATGCAGCTATGATGAGGGACACTGAGAGATTTACAGTCAGTCACAGAAGAGAAAGATGAATCAGCTTTGGAGAAGGACAGGCTCTCTGTTCGTTAATGGGAATTCTTCTCTATAATATTTTTGGATTACAGTAGTGCAAATTTTAAAGGCAGATGGCAAGGGTATAAAAAACAGATCACCTTACATCACTGAATAGCTTTGCAAGTTACTCATACCACTCCTGAAGATTTGCAGTTAATGTGTTTACTAGGTGGCTGAAAAGGCATGACAGGATTTTCTAAAAGGGTGATTAATATTTATTATTCTTTATCTTCCAAACTGATATTTACAATAATGGATCTGTTTGGAAAAACGTGTAACTCTGTATTTTGTGTATTATATTTCGTGTATTTCATCATGCCCTTCCCATTCCAACCTCCTGGGATCAGCTGTTTCCAGGTTCCCTGTTCTTTGGAGAGCCCCAACGATGTGGAAAAAAATGTGGTACAAACCGCTTTGAATTTTTTCCCATTTCTTACACACTGAGGTGCAACAGGTACCCTTTGTGAGGCAGGAATGTTTTCTTTTTTGACTTTTGTACACAGTGTTAGTGCCTCGGAGAAAAACTTCTCTTCTAACCCATGTAGCAAGCGAAGTGGCTGTGCAGGTCTCGTGCTGCCTCATCCTCTCTCCCTTTTGGCCCTCGTGGGCTTGATGCTGTGTGAGGTGGGGGATGTTCTTGTTTGATGTCAGGGGCTTTTGTGATGGATGCGTCTCTGTGATGGGTGTTAAGCTCCTCCGTGTGTTTTACAGAGGAGGCAACAGAAGGCAACAAGGAGTTCGTCCACACCAGATCAGAAGCAGCAACTTTAATGGAAACTCTGACCCATTGTCAACCCATGAGCCATCTGTTTTCCCATGAGAAATTCCGATTACTAGATTTGGTTAGTAGAAGGGACAAAGCAAATGAACTGAGTTTCCTTCCTTCTGATCAATCTAAGTGATCCTAGCAAGACGATCCTAGTAAATGTCATTCTTGCCAGTAGGAGTGACTGGAGTTGGAACTTGCTGAACAGCATTGTGGTTAACATCCTGTGTGGATTCCCTAAAAATTAGATTATCTGAAGTCCCATTGAATTGGAGACAGAAAACAGATGGTTATCTCTCTAGGACGTAGTTCTCGCAGTCCTCAGAGCGGTTGTCCTTTGGAAGCAGGTATTAGGCATCTTACAGGTGCTTCTAAGCCTCTAGAAGTTGGACTTTGAAGAGTACCTAAGTGGAGGAGCCAGATCATAACGATACTGAGCACTTCCTCTGCTGTGGGAATCACTGGGAAGCGACAGCCAGATCCAAGTCTTGGAGGTGTTCTTCCTGGGCTTGCGGATGCACCTGGATATTGGATACTTCAAAGTGGAAACCTCAAGTACAAAGGGTGTGTGGCCATTCCTTGGCCAGAGGAGTGAAAGCTCTCCCTCTGGAGGTGGTGAGAGGGGACACCATGCTGACTTCGCAAGCACACTGGTACCTCTGCCTCAGCTGCACAGGGCCACAGGAGACAAGTTGGAAGCTGTGCCTAACAAAGTATTTCAAGTACATGCAAGACCAAATGCTGCTGCACTTAATGACTTAATGCCACACAATAGCCTATACATTTTGACGCAGCTTTTGTCTATTGTCTGTTTCTGGATTTTTATATCGAATAAATATTTTGTAAGGGGACACTTGTAATGTAAAATGTCTGTTTTTAATTACTCTGCAGCAGAAAAATCAGTCATAGATCAGAAAGTGCAGGTCTCTACAAAACTGTGGCCATGATAGATAAATCATTCCTGCTTATGTAATTCCTCTTCTCTTACAGGTAACACAGTTGGGAACTATATTCGTGCAGTCATGGGGCTGTAGAAGTAGTTCCTGTCTGGCTTTTCCCACGTGGGTAATAGCTGTTTGCTCAAGTTGTGAGAGAGATACTACCAACCAATGAATAAGCTATTGATTTTATAAATTGCATTTTTATGAAACATGAGACGGAGGGAGGTGGTTCTGTGTTACCTTTGTAGAGTGGCGGGTAGTGGGTGGAAGTTGGCTGTTTCTGTGCTTGTACCTTCCTGCTCTGTGTGCTGTAGCATAGATTTCATCTAGCATGTCAAAGCTGCGTTCAGTGCTTCAGCTGCAAGGGAAACAAGTTTAAGTGCATCTGTCAAGAGAAGCATTTTTGAATTGGAAGGATGATTTTACTAAGATGGTGGCTTTGAGATCTAGTTGGTTTATAACCAAAATCACTAATTCCGTCAATTTCTGGACTGGTTTTGGTAACTATCCAAACTCATTTTCCTACATTTGCAAGAACATTTTTCTTCTCTACTGCTGGGTGTAAAATCCAAGCAGACGGCTGCTCATTTGTAAACATTTTGTGCAGCTACTTTCAGAGTGGGGAGAAAAAAGCCCCCTGAAGTAGTCCTCAATGTCACTGGCTTTTTGCAAGTAGGCAGTGTAACCCTGAGTGTTTAGGAATAAACACTAGTTAAGACCCTTAAAAAATCTGGTCCTGTAATTTTAAATTACAGTATTTGGTGAGTAGATTTGATATTCTGTTGATTTTTATTTTATTATTATTTATTTTTTCTTTTTTTCCTTGCTGGCTGGAATGCTTTTTTTCTGTCCAGAAATACAACAAAAGAGTGCTCTATACTCTTTGTGAACACAAACTGTCCTTGATTGCACCACAGCAAGCTCTAAGTTAGAGGAGTTTGAACGTGTGTATTTTCCGAATGGCACAATAAATCCCCATTACAGAACTATTCAAAAGAGGTCTGAAAAGGACTTCTAAGTGTCATTTCTCCCCATGTCCCTCAGCTTTTAAACTGGAGGACTACTGATGTTTGAGAAAGCAGTCCATAGATACATTTTACAGTATTGCCACAATGGTTTTCATTGCAATGAAATACAAAATAGGCAAAATTTGAGATGCTGATTAGTTATATGTTCACATAAGAATATTTGTTTGGGTTTTAATTGCCTGTTTTTGAAATGTATGAGCTGATCTGGCCCAGTCCTTCCCCTAAAGTGAGGAGTTGGACTCGATGATCCTTATGGGTCCCTCCCAACTTGAGATGTTCTGTGATCAGCCCCATCTCAGGATGATGTTCGTCCAGCCAGGCCTTTAGAAGCCACCTCTGCAGCAGAACCCACAGTGCACGGCTACAGTGTATGATGAACAAAGTTGGAGCTGCACACCAACTGACACAGCAGAAAACACAGTCAGTCGAGGTTCCCGATGGTGAATTCCTGTTGGAGTGGTTAGTGAAACTGAAAAATTTTCCTAGAGTTTTACACTAACTTCTTGTGAAACTCACTTCCTCTTGCTTCTCTCTTCTCTATATTTTTTTCAAACAGGTGAAGCAGCTGTGGAGGGTTGACCTCCAGTTAAATACAAAGAGCTCTGCAACCAGCACACACATTCTTTCTCACCTAAGTTATCCCTTTACAAAATATTCATGTCTCTTCCTTGGTCTTCTTTGCTCTAAACAATGTCTTAGTTTGTTTTCTGGCATTGATTTTATTTTCGGTCAGCAGAATGAAGTGGTTGATTGCTTCTGCCAGCCTGGAAGCAATAGGTGGTGTCATTCAGACAAACAGCAACCAGGAGGAACAGCAGCAAGAAAGGTTTTTACAGCTGACATACTGTAACACCACATATTATTTTTATGAGAGAAATACTGGCACCTAACGGAGCACAAGCCTTTCTGATCTTGATCAGTGATTTTCTACCCATTTTCTGGTGACCAGCTTCATTCCAAATTTTAATTGAACCAGTTGCTTGGCAGAAATGTGATGTAATTCAGTAGAGGCACAGTGTGAATGCTTTCTTCACACAGAGCTGCTTCTGTCTCCAGATGTGCTTTTTATAAAACACATTGTCTGGTAGCACAGCATAGGGCTCAGGAGTTCATAGTTTTACTGAAAAAAAGCTATTCATCTAGGGCTGCCTCTGCCTGGCAGCAGGCAACTCAAATCTGTTCCTTGCCTCAGTTTCCTTTTCTGATGAACGGAAGCGACAATCCCTTATTAAGAGTGTGTTTTGTCCTCTGGGTTGTAGGTGGCGTCTTTATGACAGCAGATACACCAGCCAGATTTCCCAGCTCTGCTGCATCTGCCAGAGCTCAGATGCTTACTCGGTAAGTGCTTGTCAGAGCTAAAAGATTCCCCTTTTCAGAAATGGCTTTGGTTTCCTTGATCAGTCCCATTAAACCTTTATTGTTAAGCTTCTTCAAGACTGCCACGTATTTGATAACTTACAAGAATAAGAGAAGTGCTTTTCCCACTCTCTGCCCTTCTCTCTTACCTGAACAGCCACTTGACCCTGCAGAGGCTGGCCAGGTGTGCAGTGCTAACTCTGTGTTCCAGATCTTACCTGCTCAGAAGTGCTTTGGCTGGAGTTGCTGGCAGCCTGAGCACTAGATACTGAGCAGAATTGTTGGCGGGACTTTGTGTAAAAACTGATGGAAGGATGACAGATTGCCCTGGTTTCATCATGTCACATGAATAATGGGGGAAGACCATGCACACTTCCAATTTACATCTGATGGGTTTGCTTTGCAAGACTGGCGTTGGGAGCTGAACCCTAGTAGGTGTAACATGCTTTTCTGTGTTTGGTGCTGATGAGGCAATGTGATTCAAGTCTGGGTCAGGCAGGTGATGGTTTTGAAAGAAGCTGTGCCAGTTTGGGTTTCCCTTGAACATGTCTCCTGGGTGAAGACCATCTGAGTACTTGCCTTGAGTTGTATCTTCAACCACAGTGTTGCTGAGTGAGAGCTGCTTCCTACATCTAGGTCCAGGGGGCTTTTGGGTGTGGAAACAGCTTGATGGCCTTTGTTCTGGAGCTGAACCTGACGTGGTGTCAGCAGGACCCTGGGGATGTCAGCAGGAACCCGTTAATGTCATGCACATGTCACTATGGAGAGGATGCCAACCTACTGCAGCTGGGCTGGAGCTGAATATTGATGTTACTAGCATATTGAGTTTTTATCTAGTTGTTGTCATGTCCTCTGACCCTATGTGCACACAAATCAATCTGATCTTTTCAGCACTAAGATACTTCTGCAGTGAATCAGGGTCAGTGAAGCTGGAAGCTTCATACTGTGCTCTCTGCTCCAACCATATTGTCATCTCAGCCTGCCTTAGATGCACAGTTGGGTTGGAGCTTTATACCCTGCTGGTGTTAGGTAGTTTTAGAGACACCGTCTTCCTCCATTTCTGCCAAAGTCTGTAACCTCTGCTGCGGGTTGAAGTGCACGTCAGATTTCCCCAGTAGTTCCTAGGAGGGGTTGGAATGATGACGACAGGAAGGCCGTGGCCTGAGAGGACCTGTGTATGCACTGCTTGTCGGCAGCCAGGAGGGAGGGCATGGAGCTTAATACCTTGTTTCTGTGCAGGTCCTACTGTAACTGCTTTAAGGTTGTAGGTAGTGAGAACCCTGTTTGGCTTGTGAGATCAAACTAGGCGTCTGAGTGACTTTCTGTTGTATCTGCCAGGCGAAACACAAGTCAAATGAGATGGAGTTTAGGTTGCTCGACCTTGTCCTAGATTATGCAGACAGGAAGAGTTAATATGGTTGGCAGAGACAATGAAAATGAAGTTTTACTGATCGCTGCATAAGGAGGGAAGTGGTGAGAAAGCTGCCAAGAAAGAGTAGCAGAGCAGGAGATGGACAGACACTTGGCTGTGCCACTTGAGTCAATGTGAGATGTGCTGGGTACTACCTGAGTGGGTGTGGAATGTGCCTTGTGCTGGAGCGGCCAGAGCCCCAAAGGGTCCTGGGGCACTGGGTGGGCTGGGGAGGCGCAGGCTGCAGGAATTAACGCCCTGACTCCTGCTGCCTCCTCCTTCACAAAGTGCTACTTGCTTATTCCTCAGATGGGAAGCCTGAGAAGTGGAGTTAGGATTGAGTGTGTGTGTGTTTAAAGGCTGTGATTCACAGAGATCAGAAAGGCAAGAGACCGACAGTCTGATCTGTCTGCCAGCCTCAGCCAGTGTTCAACATGTATCATCCAGAAATTCAAAGCCCTTCTGCCAGGGACAAATTTGCCATCCTGGCTGTGGTGGATGGAGCTGTGACTGTTCCCATTTCTACAAGTTGTCCTCAGGAATTTTTTGGGACAATGAGAGATGAGGAGAAAAAGTAAAGTTGCATCTGCCCTCTTCTCCTCACCACTTGTTGGAGGGAGCTCTCCTAGCGCCCACGGAGCAAGAAAAGCAGCCCTGGAGAAGTTGCCACCCATGGTAGCCCTGGAAGCATCTGGCCATGGGAGCAGTGTGCTGGGGAAGGCAGCCAGCCACACAGAGCAAGGCAGGGGGTGGCAGCCACAGCGGTCCCTTTGGGTCTGCTTGGGCAGGAGACAAAGGGAAACGGAGCAAGAAGGGAGAGGGGGAGTGTCTGGAGGCTCTCAGGAAGCAGGTCAACATTCAGTGTGGTTCTGCCCCATTTGAAGGGGTCCTGAAGTGCCTTCACTTATTATTGTAAACAGTGTAACATCTCAAGAAACAAACTGCAAGACCACTTCCAGGTTGTACATCATCGCATGATTTGTCTGAGACCAAAGACTGCGGTGAAGGGAGCTGGAGATGTGTGGGGTGGTAAAGGAGAGGAGGAAGAGAGGGACTTCAGGGAGTGAAAAAGAACCCAGAGCAGGCTTGAGACAAGACTTGAAGACAAAAAGAAGGAGAAAGACCATGAGC